TGGAACTTGATTCCTAATGCAACAGTGTTAGGAGATGTGACCTTTGGGAGGTGTCCAGGTCAAGAGGGCTCTGCTCTCGGGTATGAATTAATGCTGCTATAAAGAGTTTGAGGAAGCACTGGGGGTATAGCTCAGTGGCAGAGACCCTGCCTAGTGTGCACAAGGCCTGGTTTTGATTCCCCAGCACTGGGAGAAAAAAAAAAAAAGTTTGCTGGAGGTGGGGCAGATTCTGGCTTCCAGTTGATGAGTAGGGTTGGAGGCGTGTGGCTCTAGCAGTACAGCGCCTGCCTAGCAAGCATGAAGCCCCGGGTTCGAACCCCAGTACCACACACACACACAAATGCCACCAAGAGAGCAGAATACAAGAAGAAGCCCTCATCAGATACTAGGACCTTGATCTTGGGCTTTCTAGTCTCCAGGAATTATGTATTTCAGTCCATCATGGCAGGGAGGGCATTGGTGGAGCACAGCAGCTCACCTCATGTTGGCCAGGAGGGAGGGAGGGAGTCTGCAACCCTAGCTGCACCGGGATGCACCAATAGGAGGATCGTGGCCAGGCCTGCCTGACATAAAGTTAAGCCCTAATCTTCTAAATAAGCTGCCCAAAAGGAGCGGGGGCGGGGGGGTGGCCTGCCTCTCAAGCACGAGGCCTTGAGTTCAAACCCCAAAACAACAATACATTAAATAAAACACATGAGTAGTTTATGTATGGAAATCATACCAATTTCAAACAACCAAAGCTAAACGCGTTTCTAAATGCCAACGATAAATTTTTATGAACATACAAGGCCAGTTCACAGAGCAAAAGGGAATGAAGTAGAGAGGAAAATGAGATCCACAGGAGCTGCGAATCAGGGCGCCCTACCTGGGTCCTGGGGCGGCGTCGTCGACGGCGCCCGCGCCCCGGAGTTCCCGGGATCGTGTCGCCGCCCGGCCCAGCCGACGCTGCGCAGAGCCGCGGGGACCCGCGAGCTTGGGGACGCGGATGTCGCGCTCCGCCCGAGTCAGGGCCGCTGCACCTGCCCGACCTCCAGGGCGCCGGGCCCGCCGGCCTCTGCACACCAACGCCCCGCGCACCTGAGCGCCTCTGGCCACGCCCAGGCACGGACCGCCCTCATTGGCCACGCCCCCGACCACGCGGTCGTAGGCCCCGCCCCTAGCAATGCCCGCCTCTGGCAATGCCCTATCCCTAACAAGGACCCGCCCCAGAAAGGCTCCGCCCCTAGCAGGGCCACGCCCCTAGCAAGGTCCCCCCACAGAAAGGCTCGCCCCTAGCAAGGCCCCGCCCCCGTAAGGCCCCGCCCCTAGAAAGACCCCGCCCCTTGGACGGTCCCGGCCCCGACCCTGCTGCCCTACGTGGCGCTGGCGCTGAGCGCCAACACACAGCTCCCTGCACGCTGTGCGCACCGCTGCCGGCCAGATCCCCGCGCTTCTGTGCCACACGCGCCCTCGTTCCCGTGCACACCGCACGCGCGACTGGCAGTGTAGTCGGGTCACTCAGGGGCCCCCACCATAGACCGGCTTTGCGGGGTCTCCTAGGGACAGAGTGGGGAGATGCCGGGGTTTTCCTCCCTGCCCCTCGGTGTCTTGGTCTGCTGGAGAGTCCTAATGTGATTCTCATGGGACCCTCCTGTTCTGCCGGTGTGACACAGGGTGCCGGGCCTGGAGAGAATGGCTTTTTCGGGTCAGGGCCAGGGGCTGACAGGCCTAGGGCTCCCACGGTGAGTGGGCGGCCTGTGGAGGAGGAGGAAGATTTAGGCTGGAGGTGAGAGCAGGTAGCGCTGGTTGATAAGCTGGGCCTGGAATTCACCTCACTACTACGTACTTTTTATGCAACCTGTGCCTTTGGGCTGGGTAGGTGCCTGGTGTGGGTTCCCAGGACAGGAGGAGGCTTTGAAGGGAGAGACTGATGTGGTCAGTTCAGATAGAAGAGCCATTTGTGAGGTGTGCGGGTGCTGTGTTGGGGGGTGGTCGAAGATCTGGGTGAAGAGAGTTAATGAAGGGGCAGCTAGGGACCTTCCAGGTTCCCTTCCTGGAAGACCTGCCTTGCCCACCTGCCTCTCTCGTAGCCCTGCCAGGTCCCCTGGAGTCGCTGGCCTCTGTGGAAATATGGGGCCTGCCTGGGGTGGGGGAACCAGCAGGACTTACCTCTGTCCCAACTCACACCTACACAAAAGCCCCATTTGACAAATGATTACGTTTCAAAATAAAATCTCTGTTACAGCACAACCCAAAACAGTATCATGCTTGTCAAGAAGAGGCAGGAGGTGTGTGGCCGTGTTTATTAAGCCCCTGGGCCTGACGTATTCTTGGGGTCCCTCCTCACTGCAGGTGGAAACTAAGATCCCACAAGGGCTGAGGATGGAAGGGTGAGGGTCAGGGGAGATGGCAAGATCCCATCTAGAGAAAAGCAGAAACCTTGGAGCTGTATGTAGATTTATGGGGACTCCAAGTCATCACCACCAGGGGTTCAGAGCAGGATGGTCCCAATTCTGTGCTAAGTCAGGAGAAGCTGCTGTTTGACCCCATCCAAGCCCCTGCCCTCTGTGGCTGGTTCCCCTTCTCTCCAGTGAGAGGTTTTTGGGCTTCTTGCATCTCTGTGTCTTGGACAGGAGGGTCCTTGACTGGCCCACAGGTGGCTGGTGTCCACCTCAGTGGAGCATTGTGTGCCAAGAGGACTGAAGTTCTCACTGGAGCAGACAGCCCCTGCAGTGTTATCCCGGTGCATGTTGTGACCAGTGAGCAGCTGTCCTCTCCTCTGTCCCACAAAACTCCCTGGCTAGCTCTGCGGGTGCTGTCCAGTGCTATCCTGACCCACATCCACATTTCCCCACTTCTCACCAGCTTTGGTTGCAGGGTTGTTTTGTGGCCTCCCTGATGCTGGGTATACCCAATGTATCAGCAAAACCCTGGCTGGTGGCTTCCCTGCCCTGCCGGCCCTGAGGCTACTCCTTGAAGGCACCTTGGTGAGGGCCTGCCTCATCCTCTATGTGGTGGCTTCCTGCTTCCTGGAGGCCAGCCTGGAGGCAGTGGCCATTGTCCTTTTCCTGATGGCAGATCACTGTCCAGGGTGGGGCTCCTGTCCTGCTTCTGAGCACCATGGTCACAGGCCTAGCATTCTGCTGCTCCTCACTGCGCTCAGTGTGAGGTTGGATCTGTCCTGCATCTGCCCTCTCCCGGGGCTGCAGTAGAGGCAGCAAGAGGCTGGGGCACCCAGACCAGCTTGCTCTTCTTTTCAGCCTGTGTCTCATGCACACTTGGGGAAACTGAGGCCCAAAGAATTAAGGGGATGAGAGGATCTTCCATGATCCAGCTACATAAAAGGATCCAGTTTAGGGACTGAAGGCATAGCTTAAGTGGTAGAGCACCTAGCTAGCAAGTGCAAGGCTCTGAGTTCAATCCTCAGTACCTCAACAAAAGAGATAAGGATTCAGTTTGCACCTGGAACATCTGCTCTAAAATATAGGGTACAGTGCAGGGGTAAAAGGTCAGAGGCCAGGCCCCATAGGCCCTGACCAGCCTGAGTGGCCAAGGCCAGGTGAGGCTGGAGTTGGGAGGTTTTTCTACACAGCACTGGCTACACTATGAGTGGGGTCTGGTGTCAAATGAAGCAAGGGCCCTCATACAAAAGTACTTAGAATTTTGGGACAATTGTCAAAGTTGCAAAAGAAGAGATAAGCAAAGCATAACTCAAGAGGTGGAAACTATTGAGTGGGCTGTGCCCTAGGGTCACCCCCTTAGAATCTGAGCTGGGCTGGCATCAGGCTGAAGTGTCCTGAAAGACCCTCACATAGAGAGAGGGACAGGGGCTTGGAACAAATGTGCCCAGATGGTGGCTTCTTTGGGGATGGAGGGAGTCCTGAGTGGCCAGGACAGAAGGTCTGGCAGAGTCAGCTGGGGGCCCTTGTCTTTTGTTTCCAGACCTGCCTGGCTGGACCATACTGTCCCTTTCTATCCTGGGGCTTCTGGCTTCCCAGGCTGTATCAGTGCTCAGAGGCCTGTCCCCACACCTCACCCACCTGTTCAGTCACAACTAGGCTTTAAGCACTGCCCTCCTGGGTGGCTGGGCAGGGGAAGAGGAGCAAAGGAGAGAGAGGTGGGAGGTGGGGGTGGTGGTGAGGGGCATCCAGGACTGGCAAAACTCGAAGGGAAAATCACTTCTCAATTTTCTAATGGAAAGATCAGAAAGTGTTGCAAGTGCACAAAGAGACCTTCCAGAACAGATTTCCTCTGGGAGCCCTGACATTGGGGCCACAGTGTTTCTTTCCCCCTCTGCCCCTCCCCTGTCCCCCTACTAGCACCTGCACTCAAGCCCTTTCTCCTGAAGAGGGGCCAGGCAACTGCCCCCTCAAGTACATGCATGGGTCAGCAAGGCTTTCTCCTACAACTCCACCTGCTCTGTGAGCCATGGCCAGGGGCTGTCCTAGTTGCTGGAGGGTGCTGACCCTCCACCCCAGCCTGCCTCTGCTGCTACAGCCCTCCTACCCCAGGTGAGCTGGCCACACCTCCAGCAACAGCACTCCTGCCTGGTGGCCCTGTGAACCAGGATGAGGAGCACCCTGGGGTGACCACAGTAGGGCAGAGACATCACCCCAGAAAGCTACAGGTCAGTGTGGCTGGGGAGATGTGAAGACAGCATGCAGGGGTGTCCCCTCCAGGTCCCTCGCCCGTGAGTCTCCTTCCTGCCCACGCCCACCAGGTGTGGAGGTTAAAGGCAGCCATCAAACTTAGTCCTTCCTGGTTCTTCCTTAGGCCAAAGCATGGACTCTTATCTTGTACCGTCCTCACACATGGGTGTACACACGTACACACACACACACACACACACAGCTCACCAGTCAGTCAGGGCCTCTCTCACCATCCCCTACTCCAGCCAAAAGGATGGAGTGAGGCCCTAGACTCCCTAATAGGCATAGCCTGCCTGGTGAAGCCCTGCTCTTGGAGGCAGGGCCGTGGCACCCCTAGTGGTCAGTGCGGTACTCAGAACCCATAGTCCATCAGATAAACTTGTGCATTTTTAATTCCAATTCACCCCCGGAGGGTCTGAGGGCCACTAGTGCGGGGCTGAGGCAGGAGAATAAACCCCAGGGGGGTGGCTGAGGGCATCTCCTCTGGCCATCCAGTCCACGCTCCACGTTCCATACCCCATACTTGGTCCTCCCCTGGGAGAGTGAGGCTCCATGGCCCATATCCATGGGGCTCATCGAAGTCATCTCTGCCATGGGGCCAAGGACGTGGTCAGGTTGCCCCTCTGTGGGGGTAGGTGTCCCCAGCAGAAAGTCTCCCTCCCTGGCCAGGGGGCCACGTCCAGACAGCATGTCCTGCTCTTGACTCTGGCCTTCATGGATTCCCATACATGTCTGCCAGCCGGGCAAAACGGGGGCCCCAGTCCTGGAGGTAGTCATAGTCCTGATCTTCATCACCCAGGCTGGACAGGATGGAGCTCAGCGTTCCTGCCACAGAGCCATCCCCCTCGTAGTCATAGATGAGAGCTGTGTCATAGGGTGGGACACTGGGGTCATTGTCTGCAGCCTCCAAGCCCTGTGGAAAGGCCCCAAACAACTCAGGACCCTGCAGAAACCAGATGGCCCCACTCCACTGCTCTGGCCACAGTCAGGATGAGATCTTCCCAGGGAACCTGCACCAGAAGGGGAACTGTGGGGTGGCTCTCCTTCCTCTAGCCCTTCCCCATCAGAAAAGGAAGGAGTTGGTCCCTTGTCACAGTGGCTCCCCTTTCCACTCATGCCAGAACCCCAGGCCTCCTGCTCCACAAACAGCTAGTCACCTCTCAGAGGCATTATCTCCATCACCACCTCGTCACCTTGTGGGGACTTCCCTCCTAACGAGGGCCTGGCCTGTGCCTGCCACTCCCAAGATGGTCTGCATTTCCTGGGGGCTTTCTATTTCTCTGAGCCCACATGAGTAGGCAAAAAGTAGTGGGAGGTTCCCTTCATTGCCCTGCCATCCACTCCAGTGACTCTCCCACAATCTGCACGTCTCACATGTTGACAGCTGGGATCACTGATGAAGTGTCCAAATGACTACTATGAACGACTCAACCAGCTGTTCATAAAGCAAGCATCGTGGTGAACTCAGGAGCACAGAACTGTGACCGCTCCTGCAAAAATGTGCTTCAGAGAGGGCAATGCTGGCCCAGCCCAAATAGCTGCCGACACCCCACTCCTACCCCATCACTAAGTTTGGAAAACACTGCAGCCTGGGCCTGCTTACCCTCAGGGGCTTCTCCAAAGCCCAGCCAGGGGTCCTGCTGGTGAGCCCACTTCCCTGACACTCTGTAGCTAAGGCCCTAGGACCTGGCTGGACACGAAACCCCGTGACTCTCTGGAAAGGTCTGGCATGCCACGCATGTGCACTTGTGTATTTGTGCATGCTTGTGTGTGCGCACGTGTACATGCACATGTGTCCACACCCTCAGAGCACCCACATCACTGATGAAGTTGGCCATGTCAGCGGGGCTGGTGGGCAGCGCTCGGTGGGGCTGGCGGCGCACGTAGCCAAAGGGGGCATCGCGGCGGAGTGACGGTGTTCCCAGGGGGAGGTTCAGGGGTGTCAGCTCTGTCGGGTGGCGCAGCTGGTTTATGTCGTAGGCATCCTGTGGACAAGTGAGCAGAGTTAAGCCGTGGGCACTGGGATCGCGGGAGGTGTGGGTCCTGCCAGAGGATGAGGAGGCGCTGTCGCTGAATGGCAGAAGGGCGATGGCCTCGGTTCCCTGGGCTCCCCCTTCCCAGGGCTCAGCATTTCTAAGCCACTGCTCTTGCATCCCCAACCCACTCCGTCCCCTCACCAGATCTTCCTCAGTAAAGTCCCCCTTAATACTTCTGCGCTCCCCTGGCCCTCTGGAGGAGGCCCCTGCCCAGTCAAGCTTGCTCAGCTCACCTGATCCTCCTCCCCTCCTCCCTGCTCGTCGTAATTGAGGATGTTGTCCCGAAGGTCGTCCTGTAGCCCGTGCAGCATACTCTTGTCCCGCGTCTGCCGCCGGAACCGCTCGCGAAGCGCAGCGAGCAAGACCAGCACTGGGGACAAGGGGCGGAGCGGGTGTATGGGCGCCTGAGAGGGCAGGGACGGGGCTGACGGGATGGGCGGGGTCTGTGTTGGGGGCGGGGCCGCGCCAGGGGCAGGGGCGGTGGGAGGGGCGGGGCCTGCGTCGGGGGGCGGAGGCGGCGGGATGGGCGGGGTCTGTGTTGGGGGCGTGACCGCGTCAGGGGCGGGGGCGGTGGGGGGGCGGGGGCGGCGGCAGGGGCGGGGTCTGTGTTGGGGGCGGGACACTCACGCAGCAGCAGGAGGGCGCTGGACAGCACAATGACCAGCGCGCCCAGGCTAACGCCCGCGCCCCCAGCCAGCAGCGCTGCGGCCCCAGGCAGGCAGGTGCCGTCGGGTCCGCAGCGGCACACGGTCACGTTCAGCGGCTGCTCGCGCTGCTGGGGCGGCTGACCAGAGTCCCGGAGCAGCAGGCTGAGGCGGTGCAGGCCCTCGGGGATGTGGTACCGTGGCCGCAGGCGGGCGTGGCTCACTGGGGAGGACGCCGCGGTCAGCGAGGGTTCCCGGGGGCGCCCCACCCTAGCCACCCGCCGCGCCCAGACGGAGTCCCTGGGCCTTAGTCTCCCCGTCGGCCACTGGGTATGGAAAATAATCCGACCCCTCCCACCGTGGTGTCTCTTGCTCTCTGCCCACCCCCCAGGTCCCGGGGTTGGTGTGGGTCAGGGAGCGCACCGTTAATCTGGCTGAGACTCCAGTTCCGGCTGAGCTCTGGAACCCTGGGACTCAGCTGGAAGTGGAAGGGTGCCCCGTGGGGAGGCAGGTCCTCGTCTGTAGCGCCCAAGAGGAGGCCAGGCCCCTGATCAGGCTCACTGCACAGGCTGCTGGTGGGTGGCAGGGCCAACGCAGGTGCATGGTCGTTCACCTCCAGGATCTCAATAGACAGGGTGCCAGTGGCCGTGCTGGGAGGAAAAGCTGCAGGCAGGGGAGGCCCTGTCAGCTCAGTGCCCCTACCCCAGCCCATGACCCACCCACCCTTGTCAGTCCATTCTGGGAAGTGCTAGGCCCTGGGACAGAGACACCTAGCTAGAGCAGATCCAGGTCAGTGCTCCAAACTTGTCACGGGCTCCCTGCTCACCATCATCCAGAGCCAGGATGATGGCCCGGTACCACCCATCCTTGAGGAAAGGTGAGGCCGGACTCAGCACCCGCTGGGTCTGGATCCTGCCAGTGGCTCCATCCACGTGCAGCCAGTCCTCGGGGTCATAGTCCTTTGAGTAGCTGTTGGGAGGGAAGGGAGGAGTGGGATGGGTGTTCTGAGCCCACCAGAACCCTCAGAAGTAAGGCCACACACAGCCATACACTTGCACATGTACACACATCACATAAACAATACACTCCACATGCTCTCTTTTACACACAGCTCACACATGGCTCTGATAGGGGCTGCTCTCCGCACTTTTTGTGAGCCTCTGAGGAACTATGATGAGGAGGCCGAGGCTCCAGGACCGAGGGACAGCCAGATCACAGACAATATTCAGTGCTGGGCATGCAGGAGCACTGTAGAGACAGACAGGGATACTCTCGTCCTGGCTTGGTGCTGGTGGTGAAGTTTAGACATTAATAGCCATCCCTGGCCTGCCAGGTGGACACAGTAGACATTCAGAGGTTGGCTGGGAAGACTTTAGCCATGTGCACCTGCCAGAGACCAGTCCTATCCTGTGGGATGTGGTCAATCCACTGCACGCAGCCATATGTGGGACTCAGAACCCCAGGAACCCTCACCTTCACCCTCAGAGCCCACAAGTCAGGGAATTCTCAGCAGAGATAGGGCCATTAATACCCCATGCCCTGCCCCCCGGTGCCCCAGGGAGCCCCACCTGATTCTCTGTAGTTGCTGTGTGTCTGGGTCTCGGGCAGAGAAGGTAACCACAGGGGTGCCTGGGGGGGCTCCCTCAGCTAGGCTGGTCCGCAGTGGGTTCTCCGGGAACATGGGAGCCTCGTTGGTATCTTGCACCCACACACTAATCCTGGCCTGGCCGTGCTGGGCCCGGGGGGCAGCTGCCTGAAGTGCGGCCTCATTCTGCACAGACACTCTGAGCTCATATCGCTCCTGACTCTCATAGTCCAGGGGCTGTGGGAGGGAGGGAGGCAGTCAGTTGGTCACCCGCTCAAGTGTCGAATCCCAGGTGGCACCTTTTAACCTTGACACGATGAAAGTCTTGTAGGACTAAAAGGCTCAAAGAATGATGCAAAGTAGCAAAGTGAATACCCAGCACTCAAAGTGAACTTGTTGGGTATAGTATGGTCAATTTCATGTGTCATGAGGTAGGCTCTGGTCACCAATGAGTCACACAAATACCCATCTGGTATGGCCATGCAGGTGGGTGGCAAATGTTGTCACCTGATGCGAAGCAAAAGGGTCATCCTGGCTCGTGCGGTGGCCTCCCCCATGCAGGTGAGCAATGTTCAAAGAGACTGAGTTTCCAGCTTGCCCCAAAACTGCAGTGAGCCCATTCCTTGCAATAAATCTTTTAATGCATCCACATCCAAATGTAACTATGTCTACGTGTGTGAGTACACAAGCACGTGTGTGTGTGTGTGTGTGTGTGTCCTTCTGGGCCTACTGCTCTGCTACAACAGGTGAGCTGCCGTACTCTTTGTTGTCTGGCTACGTAGCTCGGGCAGGCCTCAAATTCATCATTCTCCTCCCGCAGCCTCCTGGGTGTGCAGCTTTGCACATAAAGAGGGAGAATGCTGTGACAAGAGAATTGTGCGGCATGCCCTCTGGCCCCAGCCCTCACCCAGGGGTGCACATGAAGCCCCAGGAGATCAGTGGACGCATCCCGGCCAGAAAGGAGCCTAGGGGAGCCCAGGTTGTGGCTGCCAGGTGTGGGGGTGTGCAGGATGGGGTCCAGCTCACCTTCACCACAGACAGCACTCCCTCATTGGTCTTGGGGTCCGTGCGGATTGCAAACTGCCCGTCAGGGTTGCCTTCCAGGATGGTGAACCTGGCCATCCAGTTCGGGGAGCCAGGCAGGTCCCTGTCTTCCACCTGGAGCCGCCCCACATCCACTCCACTGACAGCCTCCATGGCCTCCATGAAGAACTGGGGAGGGGGCCCAGCCTCAGTTACTCATGGGTTGGGGGCAGTGTGGATGGCTTCTCCCTGTCTCCCTGAGGAATGCCCTTCTTATTCTTTCCAACCTGACACTGCCGTCTGCCACTGAGTGTCCTCAGGTCTGCCTGCTCCCCAGGCTGTGGCCCCTATGTAAGCTCTACGTGCTGGTGGAGAGCAGGGCCAGCTGCTCCCTTCCAGCATGGCAAAGGCTGGGAGACTTGCTCCCTGCCCAGAACCTCTCCCCTGGGCCTCTCCCCTGACTCCTGAGGCCCTACCTGCTGGGCCCCCTAATGTAGACTCTCTGCTCTTCACACAGAGCCCTTCTTCAAGGCATGCAGCTGACCACCCTGCACAAAGCTCCCTGCTAGGAGCTTGAGGAAAGAAGGCAACCCTAAGCCAGGGCTGGTGGGGTGGGCAGGGCAGCACCTCATCCTTGGTGAATTCGGGGGCGTTGTCATTGATGTCATCCAGGGAGATGATGGCTGAGGCTGTGGCAGTGAGGCCATCACCAGACATGTCTGCCACCTGCAGGGTCAGGTTGTAAACAGCAACCACCTGGGGACAGTGTGACATAGGCTCAGGAGATATGGTGCCCAGATGGGGCAGAGGGCCAGGCTGGCTAGTCACCTTATAGACAGGGTATGGGCAGGAACAGGGTCACCTGTGGGCTCAGCCCTAAGGGGACCTGGTGGTGTTAGAATGCCCAGGTGGCTCCAAGCATCCCCTAAGCTTGGACAAGGGTCTCAGTGACATCAGCGGCCTCAGCCTCAGCCCCAATCTGTGAGTGGGTGAGAGGTCAGCTTTGGTATTGCATGTGCTGGACCTGAGGGGCACCAATGGGCATGTCCTGCTTGGGGACTGTGTTTGTGGCAGGGTCAGCATGGGAGGCTTCCCAGGTGTCTTTGGGAAGCCCAGGAGCCTGGCTGCAAGGCAGTGGCCTGGGCAGGAAAGGGCCAGAGTGACAGTGACATCAGGGAACAGGTGAAATGGGGGGAAAGTCTCTGCCCTGTGGGCAATGACCAAAAACACTGAGGCCTGGTGGTACTGCACTATGGGCCTCTCACACCAGTTGGCCTTAACCATGCCCAGCCCCACACAGCAGGTGCACTCCCTATCCATGCTCAATAGGCCCCCCAAACTGCACAGAGCCAGAGCCAAGGTGGCATTTGGCAGTGTTTGGGTGGCTTCCTAGGCCTGTGGGGAGGGGCATCTGGGGTGGCCTGGATCAGAACAGAGTAGCCAATGGTAAAAGGAACAGCCAGAAGCACCAGCATGGGGGCAACGGGATGGGGGTGGCAGGTATGGAGAGCAGACCTGGCCTGGAGCTGCCCGTGGGCTGCCTCACCTCGCGGTCCAGCCCCACTTGCACAGTGCGGATCTCTCCTGTGTGCTCATCGATGCTGAAGAACTCGGGGCTGCCCTGCTCCAGGATGGAGAACCGTAGTGCAGCGTTGTCTGTCTCGGGGTCATCTGCATCTGTAGCCTCTGCCCTGGTCACAAAGGTGCCTGGGAAGGACAGGGAGGAGTGGGGACAGTGCCTGTGAGGGCAGGAGTGCTGGGGAGCTGTGAGGGGGCAGAGATCACCACCTCCCATATGCTGTGACCACAGATTAGGCACCAGTTCCTGCTACTGCTTGCATCACAGAGACCAACAGTGCATACCAGCCCTGGTTGGGATGCTTCTTACCACCCCTGTAGCCCATGTGGCCTGTGCAAGGTTGACCAGTGCAGGAGCCTTGCAGTCAAGTTTTAATCAAGCACTGCCTACTGTGTCCCTGTCAGCCAGAAGGCTCACAGTACCAGGTCAGAGCTGCCAGACTGCCGGCAGTTGGGTGGCCCTGAGGCCTGCTCCAAAGGGGAGACCCAGCCCCCAGGGAGCTAAAGATACAAGGGAAGGAGAAGCGGCATATAGTGAGCCCTCCAAGCTGCTACTGGGGCCTTGCAGAGCAGCGGGAAGGCACTGTTGGTCCAGGCCACAGCATGAAGTGGACAGGGTCCTGCTCAGTCTTTCACCCTTTTCTCCCTCAGAGGAGACTGGGCCTGACCTATCCACTCCTAGGTGTACGAACATTAAACTTTCAGGGTAAGTGGGAAGAACGGGCTTCCAGGCCACCCTGGGGAACGGCTCCAACCAGCAGTTTCTTTATGGTGCCTCTCAAGGTCATGACTTCCTCACCTGTGATGTCAGGTGTGGGATACACGGTGGTAAACACCAGCCACTGCCCCAGTCCTGGAAGGGTTCAGCACCTGTGCAGATGGGAGCTACAGACCAGCCAAGGCCATCTGCACACCAGACTCCTCCCCAACACAGGTGACCAGACCAGGGCTAGTAGGTGGCTCCTGAAGGACTTTCACCCCAAGTACAGGATGGGCCTGATGGAGAAGGGTAGTGCCATGTACTGGAAGACGAGGTATTTCCAGAGAGGATGGCAACTAAGAAGGCAGCCAGCCAGCCAGGATGAAGAGATGCCAAGATGCCGCGATATCCAACTGCAGGCTAAAGCCAAGAACACTGCTTTCAGCAGGCTTCCTTGTCCTACGGGTGCGGGGTGCAGCTAGCAATTCCGGGGAGCCTTCTATGTGTCTTCAAGCAAGCAGATAAGTGAACACATGGATGTAGGAGTTGGAGAAGCGGCTGCACTTGTGGCAGGAGGGGGAAGGGGACTCGAGTTGGAATCAGAGGTGGGGACTGGTAAGTTGTGATTCTAATAGGTGTGAGTTCACACGTGTGCATTCCTACATGTGCATACACACACATCTGTGTACATGTACGTACGGACATGAATGTGCTTTCCAGACGTGTCTGCTAAAGGGGGCCTGGCCAGTTTTTGCCCCCAATTGGCCAAATCTGGGACCCCATGAGCATCAAATGGCAGTGAAGAGTCACAACTCCAGCACCACACAGATGCAAATGAGTGGATCCCTGCATGCCAGGGGAGAAGGGGAGCCCAGCAGACAGCAGAAAGCCACCTGATAAGTGGAGAGGGGAATCCAAATCCACCACTGTGGTGACACTGAGCTCGTCAGGATCCTCAGTGGGTGCTGAAACCCACGGTGGAAGGTCAAGGCATTAATATAGACCTGCAGAGTCTCAACGCGTCATCCACAACGTATGCCACAATGGACAAGTTTGGCACACACCTCCGCACCAGGTGCACGGACACCTGTTCCTGGTACGTGTGCCCACATCAGGCTTTGCTGCACATTCCTGCGAGGAGGCAGGGCTCAGGTTTCTTCAGATAAACCCAAACTAAGTCTTCATGACAACTGGCCTGGGTACTTCAAGACACCAGGGATGTTCATTGTTCGTATTATTTTATTTGTTACTTCGTTTGCAATACTGGGTTTTGATCTCAGGACTTCAGATTTGCTAGGCAGGTGCTCTACCACTTAAACCAACCCCACAGTCCTTTTTGCTTCTGTTACTTTTCATATAGGGTCTCGTGTTTATGTCTGGGCTGGCTTGGACTACAGTTCTTCTATTTACGTTTCCAGTGTAGCTGAGATGACAAGCATGGGCCACCACGACCAGCTTTCATTGGGGTCTCTGGAACTCCTACCTCCTGAGTAGCTAGGATTACAGGCATGGGCCACTGTGCCTTTGTATTATGTGACTGTCACATCGCTGAAGGAGGAGTAGTCACAGTGCGACCACTCAGAGTCCTCTCTATATTCTGAAAGTCTTAGGGACTTGGAATTTATATTAAAATGAGAGATGGCTTGATCATCAGCCTGTGGGAGTTCTTGTCTTGGAGATTCTTACTTATTTCAGGCTTCTTTTTCTGGGCAGTGCTGGGAGCTGAACCCAGGGAATGGTGCATGCCAGGCAATTGCTCTGCCACTGAGCCACAGCCCAGCCCTGTAATTCCTGCTTAAGGGGATCCTGGATTTCCAACTTCTGAAGCCCCTCCCCCTGGGTGGGTGACTTGGGGCTGAATTCCCGCCTTACCTGGGGCAGCCCCCTCCAGCACATGGCCCATGAACATCTCCTGTAGGAAGGCTGGTCGGTTGTCATTTTGATCCACAACCACGATCTCCAGGTCCGTGGGGTCCTCCAGGGTGGATCCACCCAGGTCCAGGGCAAAGGCCCTTAGCTGTCCAAACAAGAGGACATGGGCTGGTTCTGTGGCACCTCGAGCCATGCAAAAGGGACTGCAAGTGCATACTGACTCCAGCTGGAAGCAGGCAAGCACTCACGGGCAAGGCAAGTGCTTCAGGGAACATGAGCTCTACCTTTCACCATGCCCACCTCTTGCCTTGGCTTCCAGGAAACTTATAACATGTGTGCTTTCAACTGGGGTTCTTGGCCTCTCTCCCTTTCTCTGTGGTTTTGGCCGCACACATATTTTTTTGAGATAGTGTCTCCTTATGTAGCCCAGGTTGACCTCAAACTCTCAATCCCCTGCCTCAACCTCATGAGTTCTGGGATTCCAGGTGTGCACCACCACACCGGGCTCATGTGGCATTTTGATCTGCTTCTTATCCTTTTGGAGAAAAACATGATGTAGTTCTCAGGTTTAGAATCCTAAACCTGAGCTTAGTGGATCCTGGATGCAATCCCAGACACTTGGGAGGCAGAAGCAGGAGGATCTTGAGTTGGAGGGCAGCCTGGGCAAAGTTATCAAGAATTTATCTCAAAAATGAAACATAAACAAAAACTGTCTGGGGACCTAGCTCAAGGGCTAGAGTGCTTGCTTAGCATGTCCAAGGCCCTGAGTTCAATCCCCAGTGTCAAAGGAAAAATATCCCTAACGACTGTCTATGTAAAGGTAGCCATAGCAGGTCCTTAAAGTCTGGAGGAAGATTGAGGGCGTATAAAGAAACTTTGCTTCCTGAAAAGGCAGAGGCAGGAAGCTGCCTTGCCCTAGGTTGGGGACAACATGGCACCTTGCAGGATCCAGGCTGGGGTGACCTGTTTGCAGGGAACTCAGATGGGGTCCTGGCCTTACCTCCCGACCCTGTGCCCACCTCAAGGTGGCTCCTTATCTCCTTGTGAAATCTTAGTATTCCCAGGGGAACCCTGCCTGGCCAATCTCACCTCCAAGACCAGCCCCTGCTGCTGGGCTGGACACTACCATGGAATTCCACGTAACTTGCCTACCCCACCGAACAGACCAGGGATCAGTGGAGAGGTGGCTGTGAGCCATGCTCTGCCCTCCTGAAGGCCACCTGCTCCTGCCATCAGACCCCACCCCTCCTCCAGAGCCTGTTAAATGAGAAATTAATCTTGGTGTCCTCAGCTGCAGCTCCTATGCCTCTAGTCCATTCCCAAGCCTGGGCAGGAGGGAGGGGGACCTGGGCAGGAGGGAGGGGGTACCTGGGCAGGAGGGGGCAGAGACCAGAAGGACAAACTCACCCTGAAGCGGTCCGTCTTCTCACGGTCCAGCATCTTGTTGAGGAACACCTTCCCTGAGAACTTGTCGATGAAAAAGACGCCTTGGGGCTCCTCATCCACGCCAGGCCCCTGGATGCTGTAGATAACACTGCCCAACTGCTGTTTGTCTGACTTGATCTGTGGGGCAGGGGGGAGCCGGGTGAGGGCTGCAGAGGGCCCCTCCCCAGCTGGGAGAGTGAAGGTCCAAGCAAGGCTCCTGGGCCCAAAGAGGCCCCAATGTGTTCTGGTCCTAGGCCCAATCTCAGTCCGGCTCCCAGACATTCTGGAGCCCTGGTCTCCTGGTCCCCAGGCTACATCATGAGTGTGTGGAGAGCTGGGTGGACACTGTGCAGGTCTTAATGAACAGACCAAAAACCCCATGCGGGTCTTCGGGCCTGCGGCAGGGCCTGTCCACTGGCTGTGCAGCCCAGGGGGTGTGGGAGCCCCACTTTTGACAGTGAGAAGCCAAGAACAGCGAGGTTCATGAGTCCTGCACTCATGAACAAGGGCAGGTCCCTTGCCCTTGGCTGGGGTCTCTCAGCAGGCGAAGTCCCCCTTCTCACCCTCACCCCCTGCCCAGCCCCAATCCCAGGGGACCTTTAAGTAAAGAGGGGACATTTGGTGCAAAAACATTTGGGAAGCCACCAGAACAACTGGACCATTCTCCTCTGCCCTCCACCCTCACCTGCACCAGTGGGTAGGGGAGACGCTTGTGGTTCTCGGACACGCTGATGGGTGGGATGACCCAGGCTCTCCGCACACGGCCCAGAGCTGGTGGCTGGTGCCAGGGGTACAGGGTGCTGAGTCGCAGCTGGGGGACCCCCCAGGACAGGCCAAGACTCTGCAACAAAGACAGGCTGTAGTCACACAGAGGTCCTGGGGCAACACCATTCTCCAGGGCTGCAGGCCAGACTTCCACACCACCTGGTGGCATTGCTCTGGACAGTACAGGCCATGTGGGCCTGGTGGTCACACCTCCAAGCCCCAGGATGGCTGCCCCATGCCCATATTCTCCCCTTGCCTAGGAGCCCCAGAAACTGAGAGGTATCCATAGGATCACCAGGCCCCTGGGGGGTGTTTGTTGACTGCCTGGTGGGGAGGGACTATGAGGATGCTACACCCTACCTGATATCACCAAGGTGCCAGGTGCCCCATGTGTGCCCAGGAAGGGGATCACGTGACCATGGGGGAAGGGGAGGTGCCGATGGGGGCAATGGGACCCAGGGGGCAGCTTTTGATCCCCGGGAGATAGCATCTGTCATGGCTGGGAACCCAGTCCCTGGGACTCAGCCCCTCCAGAAACCTTGTGGGTGAAGTGTGTGATGGTCAGGTGGGCTGGGGGACACTCTACAAGGCTGCCAGATGTGAGGACTCTGGCTCACATTGAAGGTTAGGGACAGGCAAGTGGCCACCCTTGGCCTCCTTACAGTTTGAATTTTTGTGGGTGGGTCAAGGTTGACCAGGCAACAGCTGCTGTCAGAGGAGACCCAGTGAAGGGACCGCAGAGTATCCACACCTGGGCCTCATCCCTCAGCCTTGCCCTGTCTGTCCAAGGCAGCCTTGCACACAGCAAGCTGAGCATCCAGAGCCCCCCCTGCCAGCTAGGTCCGGGGGTCTTGATTCCAAATGCTCCTAGGAGCTCCCCTCTGCTGAGGGTGGGGGGGCCATTGTGGAGGGGCCCTTCCCAGAATCTGCCCACAAGTTCTCAATGTTGTGTGGGAATGAAAGCCTAGGCCACCAGATTCCCAATCAGTCGAGGGTGACCGGGAACTAATCTGAGCCACAGTTTGTACAGTGGCACCTGCAGGCCAGCCAGGTCTTGGCTGTGGGGAGGCCCAGGGCAGGGCATGGGGGCAGGCAGACATGTCCGGCAGCCCTGGGAGTCCTGGGATGGGAGGGCAGGGCTTGCTGAGACCCACAGCTGAGAGGGAGGAGGCTGGGGACGAGACACAGCCCACCCCCAGCCTGTGCTGTTTTCCTCCCAGGACGGGAACTTCTGTGCGATTTTCACAGCTAGAATTCCTAGGACCCTTGGGACTCACTCCTCCTCCCCTCACCCAGGAGACAGGTAATGACCCTGAGAAGCCCCAGAGCCTAGGCAGTGTGGAGGCTCCGACAACAGGGGTGGAGGCTCCGACAACAGGGGTGGAGGCATTGGACGAGGCCCACTGTGGGCTCCTGTTTGTGATCACAGATAGCCTCACCTCTCTCAGGAAACTGAGGCACAATGAACGGACCACCCAGCAAATGTGGGGGGTTGCTAGGAGAGTGTAGAGGGCAGGGCCGCCCCTAGACACAGATGCACCAGACAGCATTGCACCTGCCATTCCTCTTCCCTTGTCACAGCCCTAGACAGAGTCCCTTCCTCTCAAGCCTGCACGAGGGAGCCTGGCCCCTGACTTCCTTTCTTAGAATCGTGGCTGGGCTGGGTTATGGGGGCTTCTGGGACCTTCCACTTGGGCAGGTCCTGTGCCCAGCAGACTTGCCAGCTGTATGCTGATATACAGTTCTGCCCCGTACCCACGCCTAGGTAAGCTCCCACCATGTGAGGGTAAGGGAGGAGGTGAGTGGTCCTGGAAAGGGGCAGGAGCCCCAGGCCCACCTGGTGACCAACACCCCAGCTTCTGTCTGTGAGAGGACTGTGTGAATAGAGTATTTGAACTCAGGAGTTGTGGGGGTCAAAAGTGGACCTGGCTGAGGTCACCTCCTCCTGTGGGAACACTGGTGCTGGATCTCCGTTCTAGTCATGGAGCAGGGCTGAGTGCCTGATCTCTGGACTGAGTAGACAGCCTCACCCGTTCTGGAAGTGCCAGCTTGCCACCTGGTCCCTGGCTTTCATGGAGCCCTTCCCTCCCTTTTGGCCAGGAATACAAGCTGTGGAAAGGCTGGTGGTCTTAGGAGGAGCAGGGTGCTTCAGGGTAGCTGGTAGGAGGGAGGGCCAGGCAGCCAACAGGCCACATCTCCTCCTACTGCCCGTAGGGATATCCAAGGCCCAGGGTGGGAACTGGCCCACGACACTCCACCCTCCCTGACATCAAGGGCTCCACCTAGCTCTCTGCTGTATCCTGTCCCCCACAGACAGCACACTCAGGCTCTTTGCTGGCAGAATGACAAAAGGCAGCAACAGTCAAACTGAAGCAGCCACCTGTGGGGGTGAGTGTGGGTTTCAGCCCCCTGTTGGCAGGATTCTAGTCTACCTCCTCCATGGGACCCTTCTGGCTGCAAAGCTGCCTGTGCTGACGTCCTTGGAGTCCAGAGAGCAGTGGAACCTTCCCACAGATCCGAGGCTTGAGAGGACAGGGACGGGAACTCAGGTCTGGGCAGCTCTGTCATGACAGATGGCAGTGTGGCCTTGTAGCTGCCAACGCCACCCAGCTCAGCCACTTCCAGGTCAGGGCACTCTCCTGCCAAGTGTAAACCTGCCTTGGTGGGCACAGGGGCTGTTTCTGGAGCCCCCCCGCCCCCGGCCAAGCACTGAGCTGGACCCTCTTTCTCCCTCAGCTCCCTAGGTCCTTATGGCCCTGGGAACCAGGGTGAAGTACCTCATCTCACAGCTCTGAGGGTGAGGCTCAGAAAGGCCAAGCCATCTGCCCAAAGCCACCCAGGCAGAGCTGGCGCCCACAGGGGGCAGAGTCCTAAGTTACAGGACAGAGAATTATGCGCTGTTGGAATCCGGTGCCTGCAGTGCCCACCCTGCCTTGGGCCTGACAGGGGTCGGAGGCTCTCAGGCCCTACTGACCCCATGTGGCTAAGGGAGACTGGGTCTCCACTGCCCAGGCAGATGCTTTCACCCTGTCCAGCTGCTGCCAAACCAGTCAGGCTCCCACCCCTCTGCCAGCTGCTGCGGCTGGACGCCCACGGGCTTGGCACCAGCTGTGTGCGGTTAAGGCAGAGCCTGGGAGCCCTGGGTCCTCTGCCTGTTCACAACCCAAGTTCACGAGGTCACCAGAACCACAGAGCCTTGGCAGGGCCCTTTGCCCAGATCAGAGGCCATGGTGGGTGTGGGTGGGTGCCTGCCAGGCGGCCCCAGCCAGCTTCCGGCTCTCGGGGTGTCTTTTCCCAGCTTATCCTTTGTCCTCCTGCCCCACCCCCTTCCCAGAAGACGTGGCAGGCTGGGGGGCAAGGCTAGGAGCTGCCTTTGGTAGCTCAGGACATCCGGTGCTTGGGACAAAGGCACATGGACACAGGCAGCTCACAGAACCCCCCATGTTCATGGCAGAGGGCAAGGACAAAGCACCCAGAAGGTAGATTTTGTGGGCAGATACTGCTGGACCCCTGTGCAGTCCCCCCATGCCAAGTCAGGCTAAGGGATGTAGTGAACCCTCTTTCCAAAGTAGGTACCCAATGCTAGCCCAGCTTACCCTGTCCCTGTCTAATCACGCATCCTAAGACAACAGCCTAGAAGCCCCAGAGATGCCCCGGACAACTGGTCAGTGCCCCTCCTGGGAGCCTCAGAGTGACAAAGCTCCTGCCACTGCTCCAAGTCTGGCAGAGGTGCTGGTCACCAGGGAGGCAAAACTGACCACAAGGAGACTGAGGTCTCCTGGCTAAGAACGCCAGATGCCCACTCCCTCTTGGCACAGAGTGGACAGAGCTAGAGGTCTCTGTGGGGCTCCTGCAGGTTTCTGCTAGGGGTCCAGTGGTAGACAGGCGAGGAGAGGGGCAGGGCTTAGGTGGGGGCCTGGCTGGACATTTGCTGATGGGTACAGCTGCCTGGCCCATAGCGAGCATCCTGGTTGGACAAAGAGGAGAGGAAGATTTCTCTCATGGGCATGTTTCAGGGACAACCTTCAAAGAAGGACCTTCCTAGGTTCCACTATGTGTCCTATGGAAGCGTGTGTGAGGTTCACTTGGGAGGGGGACAGGAAGTCCATGCCCAGCTCCTCTCAAGCTTCTCATGCCTGAGTCCCTCCCCCTACACTGGAATCCACAGCCACCATTCCTGAATGACCAGCGTGCCAGGAATGGACCCAGCTGTCAGCCAGGCCCAGAGCGGCCCCACATTCCCCCTTCAGGACCACCCTGTCCAGCTGCTGCCGTCGTCAGAGAAGGGGTGAGGAGGGGGTGGACAGGCAGCTGTTCTTGCCTGTCCACCCTGCCCTGCCCGTGGCACTGCCCGTGACAGTATATACTCTTCTCACACCCTGTGCCTAAAACCACAAGCCACGTCTTTAGGCCTCAGCCACTGTTGCACAGGCCACAGGATGGAGGCCTGCTGTGCATGAGGCTTCTTCCTGGCACCCTGGCACTGCCCAGTGGGCCTTTCCTGCAAAGCCCCCAGAGGTGCTGCCAAGGTCTCGTCGCTCCTCCAGAGACCATGTGACTCCCAATGCCCAGATACAGGTGTGGGGTGGGAGGGCGACCCCGTAGGTGGGAGTCTGAAACATTCATGTGTCCCCATCTCCTCTGGTCCCCAGAAAGGTTGGGGTCCTAGGTGTAGGCCAGCCACTAGGGACAGGTGGGGGCAGGAGGTGGACAGGGGCCCATTCTGAACACACTGTGTAGCCCCTGATACCTCCATAGGCCTCAGGGGCCTCAGGTTTTAGAGGGGACCTGAGAGTGACTGCCTCATCCAAGGCCACAGAGTGGGCTGTGAATTCACGCAGCCCCCAACTGAGGACCCACTGGAGACAGCCCTGCTAGGCTGGCCAGGGGCTCACAGAGCTGCAGGAAGGAGTGACCAGAAGGCAGCCTCAGTCTCAGGACCAATGTGGATGAGAGTGGACAAAGATCTGAAAGCTGAGCTGTGGGGAGCGGGGAGGGTAGGCACACACATTTTGGTGGGTCTGGGAGACGCTGCCTTCACACTGGAGCTAATTTCAGCCACACTGCTGTGCTGCAAGCCCAAGAGGCCGGGCCCCCACCAGGGTCCCCCACCCCCACCTGACTTCTGGGCTTCCATCTGCCTGGGGGAGGGGGAATTCTGCAACAGTCCTGGTTGGGGAAGAAGGGACAGGGGAGGGGAAGAGGAATCTGGTTCTCCCCACCCCACAGCAGAGTCCATTGGGCCTATAGAAAGAGACCCCCCACACCCAAAGGAGTGGGGCCTTCCAGGAATGTCTAACAAGCACCCAGCCTTGGGGGCGCTGGCCAGGAATGCTGTCCCTTCAGGAAGTGGGCAGTGGATTCCATCCCAAGGGGTTGGGAGCATCCGGGCCCACTGAGGCTGTGGCGTCCATGCACAGGGTGCAGGAGTGTGAACTTTAGGCAGCCTAGCTGTGTTGTGCTGCTGTCTCCAAGCAGGGGTAATAAGGGGCCCCAAAGCCAGGGGTGGAGGTGTGGCTGGAGCTGTGGAGCTGGTGCCCTGAGGGCAGCTGCTGCAGGCTGGTCAGTGCCCAGTCAGCTGCCAGGGACTGAAACCTGAGTCCACCAGCCAGAGCAGCAAGGTGGGAATTCAAGTGGACTCACGAAACCATGGGTGGGTGTATCATTGCCTGGCCACCCCAGAACCATACAACAACTGAGGGTGGTAAACACGGTGCTGGCCCTTTGTGCTTACTATCGGTCACACATAAGGCTGTCCACAACATCATCTCAATCATGGTTTGATCCTGTAGCTTGGCAGGGGCCACAGAGACCATATTCTCTGCTCCCAGGCCCAGCTCAGTGCCACCCGGCAGCCTAAGACATGAGAGACCTGACCTTGTTCAGGGAGTGCCCATGTGAAGAGGCCAGGGTGCCAGGAGTTGAAAGATTTGGGACCCCAGGCCCCATCAGCCTTCAATCACTGCTGCAGAGTGTCCAGCTGGACACAAAGGCACAGCAGCTGTACTGGGCTGGGACACCACCAACATGGACTGGGTGTGTGGGCTCTCTGGGCTGAGCCTTCCCATGGGAGAGGTGGTCTTCAAAAACCTGAGTTCTGGGAGGGCAGCGCCTGCAGCTGCCCTGCTGGCCAGGAAGGATCATGGAGGGGAGGCTGACACCACCCAAGACCAACAAGGACTGTGCACTAACTCTGGCCGTGCAGGCAGTTCCCAGAGGGACCCCACTTCCCTTGTTACCGAAATCGATGGTTCCTCACAAGACTGACCATACCAGACCCTGGCAGAAGGTCCAGAAGGCTCTGCCCTGCACCTCCACAGAGAGGGGCAGAGTGCCAGGTGGCTTCTGCCTGCCCCCCCAGCTTGGCTCCCCAACCCTGGCTGATTCCACCAACTTGTGTCCAGTGGAGGCGGGTCCCCTCCCCCTGGAAGCCCATGGGCACAGGCACCTCTGTCTTACAGCGCCCCGGAGAGAGCGGCTCACCCCAGGCACCCACCCGACTGCAGCTCTCAGGTCCCCCAAAGACGGCCAGGGACAGGGGTCCCGCGAGGCACAGGTGCCTTACCTGGGCGAACAGCCCGAGGGTGAGGAGCAGAGCGGCGTCCATGAGGACCGCGGCCGGGAGCGGCGAGGGCAAGTGTCCGGCTCGGCGGGACGGCGCCTCCTGCTCCAGACCCGAGGAGACCGGCTGGGCTGAGTGACAGCGCAAGTGCGCGGGCGGGCGGCCGAGGGACAGCACGTGTGCGGCGGGCGGGGGCGGGGCTGGGGACAGCACGTGTGTGGAGGGGGCGTGACGGGGGCGTGACGGGGCAGAGTGACAGCACGTGTGCGGCGGGGCCAGAGCAGGGCGGGGCGGGGGCGGGACTAAGGGGGCTGAGTGACAGCACGTGTGTGGCGGGGCCAGAGCAGGGCGGGGCGGGGGCGGGACTATGGGGCTGAGTGACAGCACGAGTGTGGAGGGGCGTGACGGGGGCGTGACGGGGCAGAGTGACAGCACGTGTGTGGCGGGGCCAGAGCAGGGCGGGGCGGGGGCGGGACTATGGGGCTGAGTGACAGCACGAGTGTGGAGGGGGCGTGACGGGGGTTGAGTGACAGCACGTGTGCGGCCGGAGGGGGCGGGGCTGGGTGATAGTACGGTGTGTCTGGGCGGGACAGGGGCGGGTCTTGGGCTGAGTGACAGAACTTGTGCGGCAGGGCCGGGGCAGGGCGGGGGCGGGCCTGGGGTTTGAGTGACGGCACGCGTGCGGCGGGGCGGGGCCGGGTGACCGCACGCTCGGTGGGGCGTGACTGAGTGACACGTGTGTGTCGGGGCTGCGCTGGGCTGAGGCTGAGTGACAGCACCTGTGGGGGGGGGCGGGGCGTCATGGGGAGGCCTCCGGGGCCGGCGGCGTCTTTGGCTTGCAGAAGCGTGGAGGGAGAGGCTGGGGTGGGAGGCTGGGTGAGGGACCACTTGGATCCTCCAGTCTTGGTTTTGCTGTTCCTTCCTTGAACTCACCTGGTGGGCTCCCTGGGCTATGCCCAAGGCTTGCGCCCTGCCTGCCTTCAGGGTTTGCTCCAACAGCACCAAGGAGGTAACCTTTGTGTGGACACCTGGACAGAGTGCGGAATGGCTGTGGGTGACTTGGGAGCTCTTTCTAGGCAGAGGCACCAGAAAGGCTTGGGGGGAAGGGGTGGGAGGTTGGTCCATACTGGAGGAGGGTCAGGCTGGGGTCTCACCCACCTGTGGCTGCTATAGGTTCTTCTCAATTATCCCCTGCTAGCTTCCTGAGCCTGTCCACATGCCCACAGTCTTGTCCCCAGTGGTGGCTACCAGGATTCTCTTCAGGTTGCATGCTTTGCCAGCAGCGAGGTGCTGTCCAGGATGGTCCTTCCTGTTCTTACCTGGGCCAGGGCTCCAATTCTTATGGCCAGCATGGATTCCTCAGTCACTCAGATCTGACCCTGAAGTGCCTGGGGTGAGTGTGGGAGGTTAGCAGTAGTCCAGAGCTGCTGGGTCACAGAAGACACCCAGACACCCTGTGTTCTAGAGGAACAGAGGTTATTACCCCATCCATGGCCAGGACCTGAAGCTCCAGGGAGCAGAAGGGAGTGTGCCTGGGTTTTCCAGCCCCCTTCTCTACACTTACAGAAACATTCTTGAGGCCCCAAGCCCTGGCCATCACCAGGCTATGAGTGGACAAAGGGAATGAAGGGTCTGCCAGGCAGGAGGAGCCCTGAGGTCTCTATGCTCTGTCAAGGGTCCTGGGCCCCCAGGTTCTGCTCCTTGGAGCCTCTTGGGGAGACTCCAGGAATGGCTGGGGGGCTCTTCTCCTTCACTCCCTTCCCAGGGGGTGCCCACCACTCCCATGGCCTTAAACACCACCCATAAACTGGGACTCTCGACTCAGGCCAAGTGCCTGACCTGAGATGGTTAGGTGTCAATGCAGCCACAGACTCCTGGAGCGGCCCAACCCCAACACCTCCTGCAATTGTACTCTCTTCAGTCAGCTCCTGGTCCACTGAAAGTCCTTGTCCATGAATGTATAGTTCCCATCAGTCACTCCTAAACATGACCTCTAGTTCATCCCAAGTCCCCTTGTTCCTTGAGGCCCACTGCCTGGAACCCCTTTCCACTGTTACCTATAGAACTCCTACTTATCCTTCAATGCCCAGCTCAATGCTGCCTCCTCTTTGGGAGCTCTGAACTGCCAGCCCCTAGCCAGAAGCCCCTCCTTTTTCCTCTGGCCTGAGGTGGCTGTGGCCGCTATGTAGTGACAGTTTATCTGGATCCTCTGGACCTGGGAGCGTGTGTGTCCCTCGGTACTGTACAGGACATGTTATGCTTCCCTGAGCAGGCAGCATGGGGAGTGGTAGCTGCTGACCCCCTCTAGGGCCCACTGCTCTGTCTGGGACCTGTTCCTCTCTGTCATAGGAAACCTAGGTGTCCCTGCTTGTATCAGATTGTGGGGCTGGGCAAGTGCACATACCATCTGTGCGTGGCCACCTTGGAGGGAGGCCAGGCTGCCTGGGGGAGGCTTTGGCCAGTGCTGTCTCTGGCAGGCGATCACTCCCACGCACAGGGGAGGGAGAGCAGGGAGGCCTCTGAGGCCTGGACTGGGGAGGAGCCCCCTGGGGACCACTGCCTTTGAGATTAGGGAACCCCAGAAACTGGAGTGAAGCTCCCTGAAGCTTTGGGTTTCTGCCTCATGTTACCGCTGCAGGGTAAGAAGTGTCCAGGCTTTCCTACCCAGAAAGGCTTGGGACAACCCCTTCCCACTTTCCACTCCTCCGACTTGCTTTAGATTCACCGCCTCACACCCCACAGGACAGAAACAAGCCAAGCCCTTTCTTGGAGAGGGTCTCTCAGGTCTAGGTCCTGGGAGTGGCACAGTGAGGGTTGGGGACAGTGAGTTCTCTTTTCTGCTGGATTCTTCTTGTTCAACACAGGAGTGGGAGTGGGACATTGGGCTCCAAGGACTGAGGTCCTGTCTGCGAGGTTCTCAAGTCACAGGACAGTCACCTCCAGAAGAGTTCTCTTCTCTGACAGACTTGGGGACACTGTTCCTACTTCCCCACAGCAAGCCTCCAGCTCTAACCCCCATGTTTATGGACAGTCCAGAAAGTCACTCCATCTTCATAGCCTCCCCCTGCTCGGGACCCTGGAGAGTCAGGGAGGCATGGTGGCCCCAGGGCAATTGGAGAGGGGGAGTTCTGCAGGTGGGGTATGGGTCTCTCAGGCAAGGGTGTGGGAGGCAGCCCTATGGTGGGGGCATGTCCCTTGAGCTGGTCTCTGGGGGGCAGGTCCCCCTGGGTGGTGGGGCTGCCCAGGCTTAGCAGTGCCCCCTCCTGGTGTCTTCCATGCTGAATGCACCTGCTGGCGCAGCTTTGGGGCCGGTGGTCCCCTAAGCTCCTGCATGCCCGAGCCCTGGTGAAGGTCAGGGCCTCCCCCACCTCTTCCTGGCGACCCCTCTCTTATCCTTTGTTTCTCAGTCCATCCCGGAGAGTCGCGTGGGGCCAGTGGAGCTGCTTGCTCATCTAATGTGTGAACCTGTGAAGAGGGGTCATGCAGAATCCCGAGGCCCAGTTCCCTGGGCGGGCAGATGGGTAGTCAAGGTGGGCTTGGACCTAGGGCTCATTGTCCGTCTTTTTTTTTTATTATTATTGTTTTATTATTCATATGTGCATACAAGGCTTGGGTCATTTCTCCCCCCTGCCCCCTCATCGTCCGTCTTAAGGAATTTTCTCCTTGATCAAATGGGGCCAGCAGTGGCTTTCAGCAGAGAAGTGATGCTTTATAGTACTGCTGATCTCCCTCTCTCTCTCTCTCTCTCTCTCTCTCACACACACACACACACACACACACACACAAGCACATATAGAACATTGACTAAGGGCCAGGAGCTCAGTCCTACCAATCCTATGAAGCAAGGTGAGCTAGACAGAGGACTTCTGATGCTGCTAAGATTGCCCTGCCCCAGAGTTCAGGCACAGCATGGAGATGGGCAGGAAGGTAGGCCACAGAGGCTGAAGCCTAGACTCAGGGTGGAGAGGCAGATCAGGAAGTGTTGGGTGTCCCCAAGGTGACTGAGCCCTCAGTCTCAGTGACTGAGCCCTGGCCCCTGAGGTCTGGAGGTGGAGTGGAGCTTCCTACCCCTTAAATGCTTTCCGGGGACAGAGGAGGTGGGTGTGTGTGTGCGGGGGCTGGTGGCCACCCCAGGTCCTGGCTGTGGGTGGCAATGCCTTAGTGTCCAGGCCACTGCCCACCCTCTGGTAGTCTCAGGGTACAGTTGAGAAAGACCCAGAGTGGTGCCCACCAGAGTTGGAGAGACTATCCTTGTCCAGACCTGGACAAGACCCACAAACCTGCAAAAGAACTGTCATTTGCCAAGCCTGTTTTTTTAAAGTATTGGTGGTCCCTGTGTGGTGGCACATACCTGTAATCCCAGCTACCTGGGAAGCTGAGGCAAGAGGATAGCAAGTTTGGGGCCAGCCTGGGCAACCTAATAACACATGTCAAAAGAACGTGAAAGGAGAGCTGGGGGTGTTAGCACAACGGTACAGCACTTGCCTGGCATGCCCAAGACCATGGGTTCGATCCCCAGTACTGAAACAAACAAAAATAGATGGAAGACTCAAACTATACAGACAGACACAAAGCAGAAAGGGAAGCTGTGTGTGAGGTGTGGACTGCCCCGCAGGCCCCTGGGGTTCCAAGGACCTAGAGCCAGCTGGGCCAGAGCCTGGCAGCTAGCCATGGTTGTACACGTGTTTGGGAGAGGGATCCTAGGGATGGCAACCCTACTTCCAGGTCTACCCCTGAGATCCCTGAACGTCTGTTGCAGATGGGGTTCTCCTGTCCAGCAGCCCGGACACTGGCCATACCATCCTCCTTGCAGGGACAAGCGCTGGCAGTGAGTGACCTAGGCCACTCCTGAGCTCTCCTGACTTCCCTGTGTGTCCTAATTGGACTCAGACAGGGAAAGTCCCCCAGATAAAAACCCCGGCCTCCCACACTCAGCAGAGGCACTTGGGGGCAGTGGGGGCAGGTGCTCAGCCAGGATGGGCCTGGCGAGAGCCAGAGCTGCGGTTCCTGCCACATCAGCCTGGAGCAGCAGGGGGCAGTGTGGCTCCAGATGTGGGAGGCTGCTGGGGGAGGGGACCAGCCTTGTCCCAGAGTCTTAAGGCGG